TTGGCTATGATGAATTGTTCTAAAATTGATAGTAATTACTGTACTGTAGTGTATAGGCCACTCCCCATCCCCCCCTAATCCCCCCAGGTGGTCCCTCCCAACGCTCCCCTCTCTCCCGACACCACCCACCCACCCCACCCCCACCTACACCATGCGCCTCGAGTCTCGGGCAGACCGGATTAATACCGTATGGCCCGCCTCATGTTTTCATATACGGACAAAGGCACGATTATCCGGGGGACTGACCGGATAGTGTAATTTCTGCAGAAAACATGCTTTAATCCGGTCCCTGTGGCTATTTTGGCCGGATATTGTGATAACTTTATCCGTTCACGATTTTGGCCGTATAAGGGCGTTTTTCGGATGTTCGAATCCCGGATAATCGTGGGGTTACAGTATATATATATATATATATATATATATATATATATATATATATATATATATATATATATATATATATATATATATATATGTCGTACCTAGTAGCCAGAACGCACTTGTCAGCCTACTATGCAAGGCCCGATTTGCTTAATAAGCCAAGTTTTCATGAATTAATTGTTTTTCGACTACCTAACCTACCTAACCTAACCTATAAAGATAGGTTAGGTTAGGTTAGGTAGGGTTGGTTATATATTTACGTTAATTTTAACTCCAATAAAAAAAAATTGACCTCATACAGAATGAAATGGGTAGCTTTATCATTTCATAAGAAAAAATTAGAGAAAATATATTAATTCAGGAAAACTTGGCTTATTAGGCAAATCGGGTCTTGCATAGTAGGCAGAAAAGTGCGTTCTGGCTACTAGGTACGACATATATATATATATATATATATATATATATATATATATATATATATATATATATATATATATATATATATGAATGAAAACTCACACCCCAGAAGTGACTCAAACCCATACTCCCAGAAGCAACGCAACTGGTAACTACAGGGCGCCTTAATCCGCTTGACCATCACGGCCGTCAAAGGAAGTGATAGCCGAGGCTATTTGAGCCACTTCCCCGACGGCAACTCGGATGGTAATCTTGGGCATAGCATTTCACCAAATCACCTCATTCTTTGCTCAAGTGGCTCAAATAGCCTCGGCTATCACTTCCTTTGACGGCCGTGATGGTCAAGCGGATTAAGGCGCCCTGTAGTTACCAGTTGCGTTGCTTCTGGGAGTATGGGTTCGAGTCACTTCTGGGGTGTGAGTTTTCATTCGCATATAGTCCTGGGGACCATTCAGGCTTGTTCGCATTTGTGTTCCTCACGTGTGCCCCAAAGAATGAGGTGATTTGGTGAAATGCTATGCCCAAGATTACCATCCGAGTTGCCGTCGGGGAAGTGGCTCAAATAGCCTCGGCTATCACTTCCTTTGACGGCCGTGATGGTCAAGCGGATTAAGGCGCCCTGTAGTTACCAGTTGCGTTGCTTCTGGGAGTATGGGTTCGAGTCACTTCTGGGGTGTGAGTTTTCATTCGCATATAGTCCTGGGGACCATTCAGGCTTGTTCGCATTTGTGTTCCTCACATGTGCCCCAAAGAATGAGGTGATTTGGTGAAATGCTATGCCCAAGATTACCATCCGAGTTGCCGTCGGGGAAGTGGCTCAAATAGCCTCGGCTATCACTTCCTTTGACGGCCGTGATGGTCAAGCGGATTAAGGCGCCCTGTAGTTACCAGTTGCGTTGCTTCTGGGAGTATGGGTTCGAGTCACTTCTGGGGTGTGAGTTTTCATTCGCATATAGTCCTGGGGACCATTCAGGCTTGTTCGCATTTGTGTTCCTCACGTGTGCCCCAAAGAATGAGGTGATTTGGTGAAATGCTATGCCCAAGATTACCATCCGAGTTGCCGTCGGGGAAGTGGCTCAAATAGCCTTGGCTATTACTTCCTTTGACGGCCGTGATGGTCAAGCGGATTAAGGCGCCCTGTAGTTACCAGTTGCGTTGCTTCTGGGAGTATGGGTTCGAGTCACTTCTGGGGTGTGAGTTTTCATTCGCATATAGTCCTGGGGACCATTCAGGCTTGTTCGCATATATATATATATATATATATATATATATATATATATATATATATATATATATATATATATATATATATATATATATATGTCGTACCTAGTAGCCAGAACGCACTTCTCAGCCTACTATGCAAGACCAAATTTGCCTAATAAGCCAAGTTTTCCTGAATTAATATATTTTCTTTAATTTTTTTCTTATGAAATGATGAAGCATCCCATTTCATTATGTGTGAGGTCAATTTTTTTTTATTGGAGTTAAAATTAACGTAGATATATGACCGAACCTAACCAACCCTACCTAAACTAACCTAACCTATCTTTATAGGTTAGGTTAGGTAGCCAAAAAAGTTAGGTTAGGTTAGGTTAGGTAGGTTAGGTAGTCGAAAAACAATTAATCCATGAAAACTTGGCTTATTAGGCAAATTGAGCCATGCATAGTAGGCTGAGAAGTGCGCACTTCTCAGTCAGAACGCACTTCTCAGCCTACTATGCAAGGCCCGATTTGCCTAATAAGCCAAGTTTTCATGAATTAATATATTTTCTCTAATTTTTTTCTTATGAAATGATAAAGCTACCCATTTCATTATGTATGAGGTAATTTTTTTTTTAAAGGAGCTAAAATTAACGTAGATATATGACCAAACCTAACCAACCCTACCTAACCTAACCTATCTTAATAGGTTAGGTTAGGTTAGGTGGCAGAAAAAGTTAGGTTAGGTAGGTTAGGTAGTCGAAAAACAATTAATTCATGAAAACTTGGCTTATTAGGCAAATCGGGCCTTGCATAATAGGCTGATAAGTGCATTCTGGCTACTAGGTATGACATATATATATATATATATATATATGGCCTATAGAAACCCCCATGTGATTGGGAGCATTCTATGTCTGCCATCTACTGAGTTAGGCACCCAGAGAGATAGGCATCTCAAAACAGATCCCTACTGGTGAAACAATACTACCTTCAACCGAACTGCTAAGAACTCCCCAATCTGAAAACAAGCAAACAAGCATGACATCACAACCACCACCATCGCGCCTGTCTGCGCAGCTTCCCCCTCCCCGAGAGGGGGAAGGGGGAGCCCCAGAACCCTCAGTTCTGAGGCTGATGTGTTGGGTGGCAGTCGTTCAACTCTGACTCCAATTTTTTAGCAGTTCTGTACTTTGCGGTATTATGCTGTGGTACGGTAGTGTGCAAGCCAGATGTAATTCCAGAAGTATTGGGGCTGCAGGCACCTAGGTTTCCCTTCCCTAGGTGCCCTGTTAGTATTGACCTTTTGGTTTGGGGTTTTACCTTCCACAAACTGTTCGGGAACTACCTCCGCTGGGTTCTTTCGCTGCTCGGTGATTTCCTGCCCTTAGGGTCAGCTGGTGTTTTTTTGCCATCGTTTGACCATGGGTAGGACCCTTGCTGCTCCCTGATACTACCCCTAGGAGGTAGTTTCATCACTGGCAGGGGTGCAAGGTATTGTGAAGCTGTCTTATAATTCGCATAGCGGCTGGTTCTGTTCCTCCTGGGGACATTGTACTTTTGCGGGGGTTTTCTTTTTCTTTTCTTTTGTTGCCTGGTGGGGGTTCTGCTTGGTGTGGCTACTGGACCACTTTTCAGTTTTTGTTTGTTTGCTTGGTAGTTCTGGGATAACCGGTTAGCAGTACCTTGCCTGAGTTTTCCTTAGCAATCAGTCAAAGAGGCCCTGGAAAACCTCATTGGGGGCTCATTGGTTCAATGTATGCGTCCTCTGAGTCCCATCTCACTTCATGCGAGTTTGAAGGTTGCTCTGTCCCCTTGTCTCAAGAGTGGCACTCAACGTTTTTGCCTCAGCCATGCTGCCTGATGGGTCAATGACACCTTTAAGCTGGAGTTCTGCGAATGGTGCTCCTTGCTTGTACCCCAATTCACCCAGTCCACTAAGATTGATATTCGGGTGCAGGCAGCTTCAGCATTGCATGCAAGGTTTAGGTTTCTGCAATGCTCTAGGTTGGTTGTCTTTCCAGATGCCTCGAGGCTGCCCCACTTTGGTTATAAGGACCCGGACTTAGGGGCATTAATGCCCCGGACTTAGGGGCATTAATGCCCCGGACTTAGGGGCATTAGTCGCCTCGACTTTGGTTTCGTTCGCGCCCCCTTGTCCTTCCCCTTCTGTTGTTCATCCTGCCTCCCCCCCCCCTTCCCTGTTGCCAGTTCCCAAACGTCTGAGGGTTTTGGAGTCTAGATGATGGTGAGACTCTAGTGGTTTCGGGGGCTGCCCCTGCCAGTTCGCCGGCAGAGGCATTCAAGATTGTTCCTCCTGCTGAGGCTTTTGGGTTGGACCAGCAGGTCCCCCCTTGACTTGGGGAGGACTTGGGCCCCGTTTGACCCCCACTTGGTTGGTGGTACCCTCGGTGCGGGGCTTTTTGTTGCAGAGGGAGGGGTTTTCTTACCCTCCCCCCCCCCCCTTCCTAGTATGAGTTTGAGAGGAGTTCAGCTCATCTCCGGATTCAGTTCCGGGTTCAGCCGGGTTCTTCGGTTCCTCTTTCCAGAAGGAAAGAGGGAACTGCCTTTCTCAACTTTTGTACCCCTTGAAATAATTCAGTGTTATTTTAGATAAACACGCAGATTTCACTGTCAACTGAAAGGAAATGATTGCTAGCTTTGCTCTTGATACTGGTTAAATGAGAAAATTTAAACACAAAACGAGACTCAAAAATACATTTGTATATAATTAGAATTAGCCTATTTATCACCTTCTCTTGTGGAACCTCTTATATTTTCAGGTTCCATTGAGCCCTAGTAGAGAAACACTGATTTAGTTTAATTACATTGATACCTTTTGTCATAATTCTGTGTTAAGTTGATAAAATCATTACAAATTGAATTGTATTATTTAAAAAAGCACTCGTGAGCATAGTTGGAGAAATTAAATATCGTATGTTAAATCTTTGGCATGATGCATATACTTTTCCATACTTAATTAAACTATTTACTTACAGAGATGAAGTACTGCATCCACATTCCTACTTCCAGTCATTCCTTGAGACGAAAAAGGAGCTGAGTAAACGTATATCGGATGTCAAGGAGGGTTATTCTCATGCTGTCACTCACGCGTAAGTTTGGGTGTAATGATATTTTTTTTGGTACACATTTGTGCATATGGTGATTGCATAGGACAGGAGGACCCTAATTTTCCTACATTTACTTAATTGTGGAAACAGTCTACTTTTAAGTCATTGTTTTGTTTCCTATTACACCCACAGTACTTCAAAAATATCTATCTAACTCCTTTTTGTTGTATTTTGATCATACTATATACTACAATACTATAATTTACCAGAAAGGCTTTGACACAGTACCACATAAGAGACTGGTGCACAAACTGGAGATGCAGTTAGGAGTGAAAGGGATGGTACTCCTCTGGATACGGGAGTGCCTAAGCAACAGAAGACAGCAAGTCACTGTGAGGGGCAAGGTCTCGGAGTGGCAAGACATCACCATTGAAGTCCCACAGGGATCAGTTCTTGGACCTATACTGTTCCTGATACAGTATATGTAAATGATCTCCCAGAGGGAATAGACTCGTTCCTCTCAATGTTTGCGAACAATGCAAAAATTATGAGGAGGATTAAAACGGAGGAAGATAGAATGAGGAAACAAGATGACCTAAACAAACTGAATGAATGGTCCAACAAATGGCAACTAAAGTTCAACCCAAGTAAATGTAAGGTACTGAAACTAGGAGGAAATAGGAGGCCAGACATTGAATACAGAATTGGAGATGAAGTCATTCATGAAACGAACAGAGAGAAAGATCTAGGAGTTGATTCATGTCAAACCTGTCTCTTGAAGCCCACATCAAAAGAATGACATTGGCAGCTTATGCAAGGTTAGCTAACATCAGAACTGCCTTCAGAAACTTGTGTAAGGAATTTTTCAGAATCTTGTATTCCACTTATGTAAGGCCAATCCTGGAGTATGTGTCCCCAGCATGGAGCCCGTACCTTGTAAAGCACAAGACGAAACAGAAGAGTTCGGGGAGACATGATCAACACATACAAGGTTCTCAGGGGAATTGACAGGGTAGAAAAGGATGGATTATTTAACATGGGTGGTACACACACAAGGAGGACATAGGTGGAAGCTGAGTATCCAAATAAGCCACAGAAACGCTAGAAAGAACTTTTTCAGTGTCAGAGTGGTTGGTAAATGGAATGCACTAGGAAGTGATGTGGTGGAGACTGACTCCATTTACAGTTTCAAATGTAGATATGAGAGAGCTTGAGGGAGCCGGTCAGCCGAGCGGACAGCACACTGGACTTGTGATCCTGTGGTCCTGGGTTCGATCCCAGGCGCTGGCGAGAAACAATGGGCAGAGTTTCTTTCACCCTATGCCCCTGTTACCTAGCAGTAAAATAGGTACCTGGGTGTTAGTCAGCTGTCACAGGCTGCTTCCTGGGGGTGGAGCCCTGGTCACGGACCAGGCCGCGGGGACACTAAAGCCCCGAAATCATCTCAAGATAACCTCAAGAAGCTCAGGAATCTGTACACCAGTTGATTGACGGCTGAGAGGCGGGACCAAAGAGCTGAAGCTCAACTCCTGGAAGCACAACTAGGTGAGTACACACATGCGTGAGTACATATGTTGGGCATAAGGAATACACATATATGGTAATCGCTTCAAAAACCTTCATTTAGCTGTGCAGGGGTGGGGAGCATGCCCACAATATAACAGGGGGAGCATGCCCACAATATAACAGGGGGAGCATGCCCACAATATAACAGGGGGAGCATGCCCACAATATAACAGGGGGAGCATGCCCACAATATAACAGGCATTTTCCCTCTGGATGATGACACCGAGGCATTGGAACAGGAAATTGGCTGCTCTTCGACCTCTGGATTGCTTAACACTTTAGTCCGGGCATGACGCAGCATTAAGTCATCCGTTTACTGTCAGTAATCTCGAGGATGACGCAGCATTGCGTCATCCACTAAAATAATTGCCAAAAATCAGGTTTTTATCCAATTTTTGGGGACTGTTTGGTAACTGTCAACAAGCCGAATGCAATCTGTGACTACAATACAAACATGAAAGGTGTTGATCACTTTGACCAAATGATCAAATATTATCACTTCATAAGGAAAACTCACAAATGGACGAAGAAAATGACCTTCTATTTTGTGCAAATGGCTATCTACAATGCTTATGTGATGTACAACTACTACACAAAAAATACTAAACTATAATACTACATATACTAAAATACTAAATACTAAACATTTGTGGGCAGGAATTGGGAGTGTTGCTGGAAGGCGTCTGGGCGCTCACTCGCGGTTAACGCGTGGCCCGTCTTCAACTCGTCGGCGAGTGGAGCGTGACCAGGTTTTTTATTTTATATGCTAATGTTCCTCTAGAGAATTCTATTGCGAACCCATTGATACCAAAATGAAAGACCTAGGACGAAAATTGAGGTGACCAGAGTGAAAAGAGTGAACACATTTTATCGCTTTTGCGCGCTCCTGGGTAACTCGTTCGCACTTTCTCTGTTTGCTGCGGGTAATTAGCCGGGCTTTTGGAGTGTATATGCATTTAGTGCTGTAGAGAATTCTATTGCGAACACAATGATACCAATTTTAATCTCGTAGGACGAGAATTAAGGTGACAAAGTTGAAGAGAGTATACACTTTTCAGAATTAACGCTCGCTCCTGTGAAACTCTGGGACCCAAATCGTACAGTTGAGGGGTGGCGCGCGGAGCACGCCAAAGTGTTAATTAGTTTATTTCCCATCTCCTTAATGAACTTGGGTGCAAATTTTTGCCAGGAGGGGCCTGATGGCTGAGTGGACAGCACTTGGGATTCATAGTCCTAAGGTTCCGGGTTCGATCCCCGGCGGAGGTGGAACCAGATGGCCAGAGTTTCTTTCACCCCGATGCCCCCTGTTACCTAGCAGTAAATAGGCACCTGGGAGTAAGACAGTTGCTACAGGCTGCTTCCTGGGGGTGTGTAACAAAAAGGAGGCCTGGTCGAGGACCGGGCTGTGGGAACGCTAAGCCCCGAAATCATCTCAAGATAACCTCAAGATAATATTTTCCGGGGGAGCCCCTTCGGCTCCCCGGAGCTATCCAGGATGATATGTATATTATTAAACTTTGGCATCAGTCAGTGTGAATGGAGTGGAGTTCATCAGTGGAGTTCTAGGCCTACCTGGGACCACGGGCATTCTATGTTAGCCATCAACCGGGTCGGGCACCCAGAAAGGTAAGCGCCTCAAAACAAAACCCTATTCTGGTTAAAACTACTACTGTACTGAAAGCTAACAAGTGGACAGAACTCCCCAAATGAAAAACGAGCAAACAAGCATGACTTCACACTTGCCTCGCCGCTTGTCTGCACAGCTCCCCCCTCTCCGGAAGAGGGGAGCCCTATTGGACCCCTCCCTGGAAGAGGGGAGCTCTATTGGATCCCTCCTGGGTTTTTCTACCCTCTGAGAGGGGCTTACTGTTACCTGGAGTGGGGGTTTTCCTCCTCCCCTCCCCCGCCCCCTCTTCATACGAGTTGGTTTGGGTGTCTGCCCTTCCCCGGGTTCGTCAGTTCCATCCTTCCTGTAGGTAATTTTACCAGCTTTCTCAACATTCGGGATCCTGCATGACTTTTGGTCACGTATGCGAATGGGCCCATATGAGCCTCCGTGATTTTGTGCCTGATTATCAAGGATCTCAAAGGTTCGAAAAGAACTTCGATAATTAAAAAATTACCAGAACATCTGTTGATTTCCGGTGAGGCTTACCTCTGGTCCTTTATAGGACTCATTGGTACTCTTCCGTACTTACTACTTATCATCTTTCAATACTCTATCTGATTATTTTATGATACATCCTATCTCAGTGATCTGTCTCAGCTTTAATAATAATAGTTAAATACATCTTGTAGGCATCTTCCCTGAAAGAAGGGAGGAGCCAGGTCGTACCTCATGCGTCCTGAGCATGGCCTGAGGGTGATCATTTGCTTATGGTTGTTGTAAACGTGTTGGTGTTCCACGACTTTTCTCACGGGTAATATGCTGCACTAACTAATCTCTCTCCAGTCATAGCCTTCTAGGTACTGGGGAAGTTCTGATTTTATACACAGGTACCTCGGTTTACGAATTTAATTCGTTCCTGGAGACAGTTCGTAACCTGAAAATTCGTAACCGAAGCGAATTTCCCCATAAGAAATAATGGGAAATGAATTAATCCATTCCTGACTCCCCAAAAAATTAACTTCAAAGTAAATTTTATACCTAATTCACCTAAATCTTCACTAGAAAAGTATGTGCAAGTTATTACTTACCTTTACTGATGACTCCTGTTGGCGTATGGAAGACGGTGAGGAGGGGGGAGGAGGAGAGGTGTTACTGTTTGGAAGGGAAGTCCCCTTCCATTATAACATCAGGCAGTGATGACTTCTCTGGGGTGCACACTCTGTCACGTTTTTCCTGCATTCCACTAGGACCTGCTTCTGGCTCACTACAGGATTTTCTAATTGTTTTTCTTGAAAATTGTTTTTCCCTTCTTTGTAACACTTATCTGTAGTGAGACATCATATTGTCATTAATAAGATCAATACAACGGCCTGCTAAAGCTTTATCTGGGTGATTCTTTTCAGCAAAACTTTGCAGTTCTTCTCATACTGCACACATATGCGTATCAACAAACTCGTATCCTGAGGTAAAGTTCGTAACGCGATTCAAATTCTCCGAAGAAATCGGGCTCGTAACCCGAAAAGTTCGTAAAGAGGAGCATTCGTAAACCGAGGTACCACTGTATAGGGAAAATTCCCAGTTCTTTTTTCTGATTACGGGTGTAGGGTGGCTCGGACTGATGCTGCCTCCCCCTCTACACTACACCTAATCTTCTCCTACTGCACTCACAACTCAGGACATAATCCACTAGTGATGCTCCCAAAATATTACACGGCTAAGCTGTGTCGTGACACTGTTGTGCCTACGCTCTACAGAGATTATATGGTCTGACGACACCGTCAGCCAAGCACTTGTTCTTGATTTTTGGATGAGTGTTGGGTATTATTTGTAGTGTGTTGCTTGGCCAATTTGCGTGCATCTTAATGTG